AAAGTGGTAGAAGGACAGGAATCAGTTAATTGCAATTACAGAAGGCAAATGAAATTATATGAAAACTCAGCCCCAACACCCCTTTCTTTCTCCCTTCCCCCACACCAGACTTGCCAGCTGGAGGCAGCTCTCCATGCTGCAAGGCTGATATCAGAAATCAGATCGGTATCAGCTACAAAAATCTCTATCAGTGCAACCCTAATTTTAAACTTCTGGTGTGAGAATTGGTCCTGGATTAAGAGTGCAGCTATTATTTTGCACCATTTTTTGCAAAGGCAGATGGCAAAATTCAGCTCTGGAGCAGATAGGGAGATTTAGATGCTTAACTACTTGTTCCGGGGCCAAATTTGGTCCTTGACTAGTGGAAAGCTGTTAAATATCCTTTTACCACTCTTAATACCTGCCTGCTTTGGCATAGGGAGCAGTGTGTGTGGAGGCTTAATACACATGACAGCGAGCTGTTTAATTAGAGTAGCTATCCAGGAACCACTCTAATTAAAACGCCCCCCTCAGCACCAAGCATGTGTATAGGCAGTTGTGATGCCTGCTGATAGCTATTGGTACTGATGCCTGATGTCTCTTGTACGTGTTAGCATGCACTGAACAGGAGGAGGACAAAGTACTGCATGGAACAAGGGCAACTCTCTGATTATGAGCTGTATCAAATTTGGCAGTGTAAGGGTACCTTTGCAAATTTGTATATGGAGTCTGTACTAATTGACTTTCTTAGATTCTGTCAGAGGCCTTACATTAATGCCTTGTGCATGGTTTCCTTTTTGCCTTTGCCTGTAATCTCAGTAAACCACTCAAAACAGATTTCCAACTATGGCCTATGCTCTTCAGTTATACAATCCTAGCTTTGAATTTTCTGGGGGTGGTGAACAGGTATAACAGCCCCCCTAAGTTCTTACCAGCTAAAACAGTTGGTCAGTATCCAGATCAGTGCCGTCAGTTTAAAATTACTTCAAACTAAGAACTTCTCTTGCTCGTATGATAACAGTAGTCAGTGCAGCTATGCTTCTGGGTTCACTTCAGCCCTTCACTGTCATGAATGCTTAAGCAGGTTACAGGTAAAACTGGATTTGACCAAACTTCAGTTTAACTGGGAGTCCAAAATTCCTAAAGGTTAGTTATGACCTCCAGGGCTGTAGACCCAGACTAGCCCTGTAATACTCATAGGTTTCTCTTCCTCTCCTGCCAAGCTTAGTTCATCCTCCAGAAGTGAAGATTTAAGCTCCTTGTCATATAAACCTTAATTATTTGGTGATTTCAGATGACAACCGTGAATTTTTCAGTTTATCCTGATATTTCTTATACTGACATCATTTAGCCTCCAGTATTTGTGTGTCTATTATCTCAACATGGTTGTACCCTCTTTTTAAAGATGTCTCTTGAAGGTGGCCATTACTCAGGTTCTGCTCTTTGGAGCTCTTGGACCCACTGGCTCTGCTTATTCTAATGTGTAGGCTTCTGTTTTCTTATTGCTGAAGTTGCTTTTAGCCTTGCTGTAATGAAAAAAGGACTTGACTGCTTTGATATACTTGGCAAGCTTAGCTTAGCTGTTCTGAGGAGCTAATTAGAACGAGCACTCACAATACAGGCTCCTAAATTCACTTAACTTACAATTAAATGATGGAAAATTCAGCTCTTACGTAACAAAGTTACCTCACAATAGCCTGCCAGGAAATTATTTACAATTCAACATTTTAATAATAATTTATTTGTTGTCATGTAAAGTATCTGTGTGGTATCTAACTTCTACCTTATTTTTAACTTCCAGACTCCTAAAACTTTCTGTTTTGCTGAAAGAATCACTTCTAAGAGTCCATCTTATTATGTCAAATACTGTATCCTCTTGGATTTTAAGCTCTGCAAGAAATAGCGTTGTTTTTTTTCACGGAAAAGGACGTTTGTATTCAAAATGGATCCCACACCGAAGCAAGATGAAATGCAAATGCATGTTTGCCAAAGCACCACTCTCTCCTGTTGTGATGAGCTGCAATATAGACAGCATCTTCACTTTAAAGGCTTTCAGACATACTTCAACAGAGGAGCAGCACTTCACTTTTCAGCTAACACCATCACAAATAAATGATGTATTGAAAGCGGGTGAATTATCCCATAAAATATCTGAATTTGATGGCAGAAATTCAAATTCTGTACTGAGATTTGAAAGTAACCAGTTAGCATCCAACGCGCCCAGTGAAGATCGTAGGAGTGCAGCCACTTGCTTGCAGACAAAAGGAATGATGTTTGGCATCTTTGATGGCCATGGTGGTTATGCATGTGCTCAAGCAGTTAGTGAGAGGTTGTTTTATTATATTGCTGTCTCTCTTATGTCTCAGCAAGTGCTGGAAGAGATGGAGCTCGCCACAGAATGCATGAAACCAGTCCTGCCAATTCTGCAGTGGTACAAACATCCAAATGACCTTATGTTCCGAGAAGTGGCTTCGTTATACTTTGATCACCTCAGGGTTTATTGGCAAGATCTCTTAAACCTTGACCTAGAGACAGGTTTCAGTGTAGAAGAAGCCTTGATAAATGCATTCAAAAGGTTAGATTCAGATGTAGCACTGGAAGTCCAGGCCTCCTTAGAAAATGAAGTGATGAGAAACATTGCCCTGCAAGTGGCTTTCTCTGGTGCAACAGCCTGTGTGTCTCATATTGATGGTGTCCACTTACATGTTGCAAATGCTGGGGACTGCAGGGCAATCTTAGGGGTTCAAGAAGAAGATGGAACTTGGTCAGCGCTCTCTCTTACTCGAGATCACAATGTCTTCAATGAAGCAGAAATCAGAAGGCTAAAGGAAGAACATCCTAAATTGGAGGAGAAAACAATAATTGTGAATGACCGGCTGCTGGGGATCCTCATTCCTTCAAGGGCTTTTGGAGATGTTCAACTGAAATGGAGCAAGGAACTGCAACAGAGTGTTCTGGAGAATGGCTCTAATGTTGAAGCTTTAAATATTTATCAGTATGTCCCTCCAAACTATTATACACCACCTTATTTAACAGCAGAGCCAGAAGTCACCTACCATAAACTAAGACCTAAAGATCGGTTTCTAGTTATGGCATCGGATGGATTGTGGGACATGCTGAATAATGAGGATGTGGTAAAACTTGTTGCAGAACACCTTGCAGAGTCTACCGTCCGGAAACCAGAACTCAAAAAACCAGTTAACTTGGGCTATATGCAAAGTCTGCTACTTCAGAGGAAATCCAGAAGCATGGGCTCACTTGACCAGAATATTGCCACTCACCTAATAAGGCATGCAGTTGGAAATAATGAATATGGAGAGGTAGACCAAGAGAAACTGGCTGCAATGTTGACTTTACCTGAAGACCTAGCAAGAATGTATAGAGATGACATCACAGTTACTGTGGTGTATTTTAATTCTGATGCAATTGAAAATTGCTACCAAGGCAAGAAATAAGGACTTGAGTTAATGCTATACCATGCTATGGCAAGGTCTGATATGGGACCATTAATGTTTACTTTCACTAATAGTCAAGCTGTTAGAAATACTGTTGGCTACAAGTCCTCTCGCTGTGAATTCCTTTTGAAAATGTTGGGCTATGAGTTTTGTAAAACCTTCTCTGGGCTCCCAGTTGTTTTGCTGGTGATACAGAATTGTACTGCTAACAGCTGTGCAGAATCTGATTGAAGGCAGTGGTCTAATTAATGATCACTGGCCAAATTCTCCCCATGGAAACCACTGACCAAACTCCTGAAGTGCCCTAGTGTGGTATCAACTGTTGAAGCTATAGTTATCTTCTCTAACCGAATGAAAGTGCAAGAAGGACTGCCTTGTTCAGAGGTCTTATGCAAAATGAGCAGCCTTCTTTCCAAGCACATTTTTCAAATAGTTGCTGTTTGAGCATGAGGGTTGTATCTGATACTTCAAACTACTCACCCTCCATACTTAAGAGTGACCTTGTGAGCTTGCTCTTTCATTTAAAACTTAAAGCAAGACTGTTTCAGTTTTGGAAACTGTTAGATTACTTTTTACTAATACCCTTTTACAGGAGGCATAAAGAAACAAAGCATAATTTCTTCCAGAATGACTGACTTCAAATTGTGACATGGGGTGTAAAGACAGTTGTGTGGATACACGCTTGTGACAATCTAGTGCACTTTAAACTAGAATTTACAACTCAGTCTTTAGAAATATTATATATTTCTAATTTAATGAGTACTTAATGCCACCAGTGGTACTTGACTGGAATATTTTTATGCTTATTGTTTGATTTACTAAAACCTTTTATATTGTAAACTGATCCGTGAAACATTGTGTTCTAAAACTGCAGTCTGTAAAACTAACTTAAATACTATTCTGTAGGTGCCTCTGGAATTGTATAAGTACATGTGGAATCTAAATGCTTCAGTCTGAAGAGATGGGTGCTCTACAAATTGCTGCCTTTATGTTCTCATTTACGAGGTAGAAATGGCAATGCTGGTATTCCACAAAAGAATACTTCATGCTTGTCTCTCTCTCCCTTCATTCTCCTTTTCAGACAGGTGCTTACTGTCCTGCACAGAAGACCATTCAAATTGTCCTGGTGATTATTGAAATGCTTGTCACTGGATATTACTTTTTATATTTAAAAGTACACTTTTTGGCATTGTGCTAAAATAATGTACTTTGTCTTTTGCACTCCATAATTATTTGTATTGCTCTCTTTTGTACTTTGTCCCCTGTAGAAAGCTTAAATTAGCTTTCATTTTCAAAGCTGTCACACTGCTTTTCTAATGACTGTTTCCTTGTTTGTGCCCCAGAATAATTGGAGCCTGCAAGAATGTGCATTCTGGGACTAGAGGTCTCTGTTTGTTGCTGTTGCTATCAAGGAAGAGTACCTATCTGGGTGGTACTGAACTAGCATAAATGTGATCACATTTTTTCTCCTCTGCTCCATTTCAGATGCAGCAGCTTTTCTCTTAATTATTCTGCAGTTCAGCATGTTTGAAGTCATTAACAATTGCCCTCATAGAATCTTTGGCCTAAACTGTGTGGATTTTTTTCCATAGTGTGTCTTTTTTTTTTTTTTTTCCACCAACATGAGAAATTTTATTAATGCAATTGAAAATAATGTATATGAATGAATATGGTTTGTAAAGAACTATGTATATGATTCTGCTTGAAATTTACCTTGGAAATTTATTTTGAAAAGTGTTTAAAGAAAATTAAAGATATGGATGTTTAATTGTGGGTAGACTTGAGACAATCAAGTCTGTGCTTTTTGATGTTACCTTACCAATTAATATATCTTGTTGGAAGCATTAGGCTCAGGCTGCAGTATTCCCTATATTGATTGCCTATGTGCTTTGCCTTTCAGTCTAATATCACTGTTTGATTTTTGGCCCTTGATTCATGAACACATTGAAGCCCGCATGAACATAAGTTAGACATAATAAGGATTCTTTGCTGAAAAGCAGAATACCCTAAGGCACTTGACTTGTACATATCAGAACAAAACAGGCAGCCCAGCTAGGTAGCTGTCACTTTACATGGTCGGTCAGCTACGTTTTGTAGGTTTGTGCTCGCTGTTCTAAGCAAACTTACTGGGCCTGAAGAGTTTTGGGTTGGTACTGGAGTCTGCAGGAAGGGTTTGCATGTGTATGGTGGGCTGTTACAGGGGTTGCTGGGTTTTATGACAGATAATAGTAATATTTAGCCTTAATCTAGCTATAGGTAGCTTTGGGCTGAGGAGAGATGTCTCCCATGGGAATGAGGGAGCCAGATTTGGAAGAAGATCTAGAGGCAGGTTAGTCTGTGAGCAAACGTACAGAGGGAGTTGCTCTAGAACCAGGTGTGTGGGAAAGGCTCTTTAGTGAATCCTGATCACACAGCCTTAATGTTTTCCAGTGAATGATTTGAGGAGGGCACTCCCCTTTGCCAGTACCTGCTTGTATATCTGTGTGTGAGCAGCTGCATATTTGCAAGTTGGTTAGTTATTCTGACTGTAACCATAAAGTAGTGCCATTGATGGATGCATATCTAGGCTACTGCTTACTAGATAAGGGCACTCTTCCATTAGTGGTGAGGCTAAAAACAAAGATGCTAGATCACAGTAGAGTAGACAAAAATCTGATTAGGTTAAATAAACATATTTAGCAAAATATTTGAGAAGTAATTCAAGTCTGTGTCTGTTAAGGACAGCATTGGAAATCCAAGTACTGAACATCTATCTAAAATAACTTGCTCTTAATTTTTGGATATTTTCTAGTTCACGTAGAGTCAAGTGGCAAACTTAGTTTTCATGTTTTTTTGCAAAAATGGAACAGTCAGTGTACTGTGGATACTCTTATTACTGCATATGTAAATAGAACTGTTTTTGCAAACTGGTAATTGTTGTTTCGGAGATTGTGTTCGACTGTCTCTAATTATATGCCAATATGTGCCCAGTTTAACTTGCAATATTGTAATTATTGTTCCTTGGAATATGGCAACAGGAAAGCAAGTAGGTGCATAAATAATAGTGTGCACACTCCTGCATTTTGTTGTAGACCAACAGTAATAGCCTAGATCTGCTTGTGTGTAAGCATCAACTTCAGTCAGAGAACGGTCATACCTTTTCTGCAGCTGTGAAGGCATGGCTGGTCAGCATTAATGTACAGGGTATACATTGCTCTGGAGTCCTTGAGAAAGATGTTTCAGTGGTAAACTTAGTTGATGGTGACCATATGGCTCTCACAGATTGGTATGATGCAAGTCTTCCTCTATCCTGAACAAGTAAGCTTTCAGCATGTTCATTGGTATAATTTGAGTCAACTCAGAAAATGTAACTTCCCCACTATCTTTATGGTGAGAAGCAGGAGGTTGTTCCAGATATAGGAATCAAGCTACCCGTAGCCTGTAGGATGTTCACCACGTGCCACTCTACTGTGCCTCTTCAATCTAAATAACGTGGACTCCTCATGTACATACTGGTATAGATAACTTTATCATTTAAGCATATTTTGTGAATCATGACTGTGTCCTTGATTTGAACTATAGCCTTCTGACATATTTGTGTTTTAAAATGCTTAACATAAAAATGTTTTTTGTTTGGAGAAGAGAAATCTTCAACTATTGTACTTCAAGTGACTTGTATGTATTTAAAGTTTCAAACCTTTGTTGTATGTTTGGTGGGTTTTATTTTTTTTTTCTCCCTAACTTCATTGCAAATATTGAAATGAATTAACATTTTGTAAATAAAAACCTGTACTCCTGCACTTGTGATTCTTCTTGCATTTGGTTTCAAGCTTCATGAACTTCACTAGCTGTGGGGGTGGAGAGCTGGGTGATTTATCCTTGAATCTAGGATGAGACCAAAAAGAACACCATCTCTGGTAACGTAATCAGCAGGTGTTTGGGTCTGAACAAGAAGTCAGTATCAAATACCATATTTACTTCATTCTAAGGTGAGATTTTTTTTTTTGTGTGTGGCCATTTAACATATGGGGGCAGGGGGGGAAGCCCCCTGTCTTAGAATCAAGTAGGAGGCAATGGGGGGAGGTGGGAGCAGCTCCCCTCCTTCCCTCCCAACCCCTGATTTTATAGTTGCTCGGGTGCCAGCAGGTTCCTTCCCCACTGCACCTTGGGGCATGGAGCGTAGCCCCAGCTCAGCCTTGTGGCATGGCACCTTCCACACAAGGCAGGTAGCAGGGGATAAGCTGCCTACCCTCCCTACTGCCTCCTCTACCACCTGCTCCCCCAGTGCCTGACCCCTACTGCTTGCCACTGCTTTTCCTACTGCAGTGGTGGTAGGGATGAATTTAAGATGATTCTCTGATAATTAGATGCTATCCATGGCAAAATTATAATGTATACATTTGTGACGTATAGAATAATTATTAGCAGATGGTGGGGATTGTCTTATTCAGGGTCATCTGGGATTGGGCTAAATACAGCATATTTTTGTGCTTGCTTGGAAATCTTGAAATTCTACTTCTGTTGATCTCCTTTGGGTGAGGTGGGGGAATACATACATAATCACTGACTTTTTACTTCCTGTAAACAGTGCTAGTGTCTCCAGTTGGTGAACAGTTTTTCCCAAGCGTTGCCTACAATAAGTTCTGCTGAGACAGCTGTGTTGGTCTTACACTGTTAAGTCAAAACCTGTAGCAAAATCCCAGGTGTGGATTCAGCTCAGCCAGCAGAGCCTAAGCTATTCAGGGGAGCTAGTATAGGTCTGACAAACTCCCTTGTCAATAATAATGGCTCTCACCAATAGTGGCTCTTTTTAGCTAAAGCAGAGGTGTAGCCCAAGTCAGAATATGAAATATGTGTACTTGAATGGGCGTTGTGCGTGTTCCATTATTATTTATACTACCATTCTCTTGCCAATGTCTATTTAAAAAGAGCTCAGTCGTGTTGATCTAAATGGGGCAGGCAGCCAGCCAGCCAAGGAAGCATAAGCTTGCCAATCAGCAACTGCAGTGCAGTGTTGCAGTAACGTGACACCAGGGGTAAAGTAAGATATGGACAAACAAGTCGACTGTAGTAGTCAGTAGAGCCCTGACCTGTTCATAAGCGAGTGAAATTGGGCTAAGCTGTCCCAGTTTAGTTTTCAGGTACTGTGGTGTTCAGAGCCAGTTTTCAGCTGCTCCCCAGTATTCCCTGTAATTGGACTGTGCTATCCATTTCCTAGGGGCCGTGAGGCAACTCGGTCTGGGGGAAAGAGCGAGAGCACTCGTATCTCAACCAGAAAAGGGTGGATGAGGGGGAGGCATGCCCCCCTTAGCTCTAAGAGAAAGCATCTTCTCTGAATCCCTGGAAACAGTAGTAGGTATTGCAATTCACTACATGACTTCTCGCTGCATTGTACCTGGGATTTAATAGCTATAGTAATTTCCTATCTTCTCCCCCAAGCATTTTTGATATACAAGATAGTGTGGGGAGGATGATACTGAATGTGCTTCCATTGGGCAAGAGACATCATTAATTAGTCTCAGCATGCAGCTCTCGCCTGCTGTCCTTGTCGGTGGAGGTTTCTGTCATGTGTTCATAGTAAACTTGAAATGCCTTCGCGCTAATGTCACCAAGTGAGAAGTCCTCGCCTCTAAAAACAGAGTCGGACTGTCCTGGAAGACGGTGGATAATACAGAAAAGCCCAAAGAGAAGCTGCTGCTGCTTTGTTCTCAAAAGTAAGAGACAGTTCAGCAACTGCAATTAAATAAATTATTCCCCTCTTTGGATTCAGTTGAGGTTTCCAGCGGTTTGCTGTTTTTTCCTGGTAAACATCTGACTTTCTCACAAAGTTTTTACATTTTTGGCTTTTAAAAACAAACAGCAATCAAAATGCAAATGTCCAGAAAATTTCCACAGCCTCAGAATCATGGACCGTAACTTGGAATGGGAAAAATTCAATGACGTGATTTGAGCGAGGGTATGCAGCCGCACGGTGAGGGGAGGATGAACCCCTGTGCATCCTGGTGCTATGTGGGAGTGGAGGTTCATGGCACTCTGCAGGTACAGGCCTTAGCCGTCATCTGTGTCGACCCTTCTTTTATCTTCAAGTGCTTAAAAGCAGACCCACAGAAGAAAAAAAAACAACTTTTGTCAATTGGTCAGTGGCTATTTCCAGCAATTATGGGAATGAGATGCGTACTTTAGAAAAAATGACCGCAAGAGAGCTGTGTGGAATGACTTCTCCGCAGTATATACAAAATACCTGTTTGGACAAGGATCCTATATTAGTGAGCTTACAAATGTTTCAAAATACTCAGTTGCAACGTTTGCTGCAATTTAAACGCTCCAGTAAGCGTGCAAAATAAGCCTCCCTTGTATAAGCTTATCTATGACGCTGTAAAATATCCAAATTCACCAGGCTGCCATCAGTTGAAAGACTTCATTTACTACCCAGGCAAATGCTGAGCCATACATTTCAGAACTACGCTACATTTTTGCACAGGAGGAAGCATAGGTGCCAACTTTTATTTTTGCTGGGGGGCGAGGGGGGAGAGCTAAGATGATAGACAACTGGAAAGTTATGTATTTCAGGTG